AAAAACCACAAGTTTTTGACAATTTATGACCTGCCGTCTCGTAACCTGCAGTATTTATATAATTAAGATAAATTTAACAACAAACCACATATTAAAATAATTAAATAAATAAAATACATTAAGTTATTATGGTTATATGCTCAATAAACTGGACATACATGAAACTTGATAAATATTATCCTTCATTGTATAATACATAGCCGGAAAAAAGCAATAAAATAAATGGAATAGGAATAATTTTATATAAATTTATTTAAAAAACATTTTAATTAATATTTTTTTTATAAATATATTGTTCAATTTAGAATTAAATTTTAGTTTAGAACGACAGCCAGGTTACTCAACTGTTTGAGTTTTATAAGTTTATGAATTTGTGTGTACATAAAATACGTAAAATAAGATCATAAAATTAAGGATATTTAATTAATTTTGGTATTAACGTAGTAGTAGATTTCATTTTATTTATATGCAAATACCTATGTTATAGATTATGAGAAAAACTACCAAATGGCGTGTCCTTATGGAGGCATTTTCGGTCCGACCGCACTCCATCTGTTTCCACGAGTCATCGGTCACTCCTCGGGAAGGCCGCGTCCATCACTGTCTGATCGTTTGATGAAATACGTTTGGTTATTTACCTGTAATTCTATAAGAACTATTGAATATGAATTTATTTAATATAGTTTTTGCTGTGATATTATTAGCTATGTCATGTACATTAAAGGTAGAAAAAGGTAAGTCCTTTTACTTTCTCTTTAAATTTTTTTTATAGATATTAAAAATTACCTTTCTTAGTTGCTTACTGACCTGAGTATATACCTATTAAAACGTTAACTAGAACATAATAGAGATATTATAAAAGATCGGACATTTGATTTTTTAACTAGTTATGAAGAAGGCTTTTTTTCTGCATATATTTCATATTCCCATACGTATTTCTGCGATGAAGCAGTTGTACTTGGATGTCTGTATTTTGGTTTGAAGGATGGGTGATGGTTGTGAAATTAGTGGGTACGGCGACGAGGCGCAACGCATGAAAAGTATCATGGGCGTTACAGTATATTATATGACGTCTAAGCTGCTGTAAATATCTATAGGTACAATTACCGCTTTCTATCAGATGCGCCGTCAGGTTGTTTGTTATACTATGTTGCATAAAAAAATTGCTTCTGAAGGTTAGATTGAACATTAGATTAACAAAGAGTATTTTATACATAGAATAAGAGCTCAAAAAGTCTTAGACCTTATAGAACATGTAAATTTAGGACTATTGATTAAAGACTAAAAAATATGAACAAGCACGAAAACAAAACAAGAGTGATTCTATTTTCAGATAGAATACTTTTGTATTCTTGTCCTGTGGTCTGTTTTTATCGAGAATTTAAAAATAATATCAAATAAAATTATTATTTTCAGTTTATTGTTTTAACTGTTTATAAATTGTATATCAATTAATCTTCCACTTTAAGTAGTATATTAATTCCTAAGAATGAATATAAAAAATCGACGAACAAAGATACGAAATTAGTTATTTATTTTACTTCGCCAACCACCTTTTCGAGTGAACTTATTCGAGGAATGTTCTTTAGTCATGTTCTCATAGTATACTCGTATATGTACAAACTAGCTTAGAGCATTTTACAATATTATTTAAGAATGCAATACAGTAACGAAAGAATGCTCGTTTGGTTTGACTGCAACATTAAATGGCAAAGTATAATATTGTTATCATCAAATTCTTTAATAAAAGTAATAAATATTTATTTGCAATTAGGTATGTACATACTATTAATTACAAATATTATCAGAGTATAAGTTTAATATTATAATAACTATTTCTATATTATTAATCTAATTGCATGATTAATGTTCAATAGATGTCCACTATCTGGCAAAGTATACACATTAAGTAATCTAAGATGTCGACGCATATTATAGAAAGACTTAACATCTTGTGGCAACATCATTTTACACACAAAACGCAGGTGATTTAAAAAAAAAAGCAAGAATTATTCTCATTTAAATAGAGTGGTAACAGTGAAATTATGACAGTCTCATCCAAGAGCCATTCATCAATCTTGAGCTCTTTTTTAATAATTGTCATCGATGGCATAGGTTATTCTATGATTTCCATACCAACAGAGTGCCAGCCTGAGGCTATTTTTAGGATAGAGCTATATGACATCCCTTGCCGAAATTTTATGAAACTGAACTAGTTTCACAAGAAAGGTCGAAGGACGGCGACAATCTGCATATTACTAAATAAATTGATCATACCGTACAGTTTTATTTTAGTATGAGGTTCAAAATTCGTTATGATAATTCAGAAATAGTTTTTCTTATATCAATTTCTGTTATATGACTTAGGATGGTAAACAATCTAACGACTGATGAATACATATATTCATATGGTGTATGGTAGGGTACCATAGGCACTACATTGTATTTTGATCTATACGAGTACTTGCTGAACTAACAAATTTTTTAAGATTATGGTGTTATGTTTCCTTACTGTGTAATTTCACTAATACATCCTTTTAAACTAAAATATGGCCATGCACTATATAGGCATGAGTAATATCGGTATCGATTTAATATCTATGATATTAGGTTCTTTTGGACATTTAGGGCTGAAAAAGTTTATCATCCATTTCAATATCGTTCATACCAGTTGGATATGTATATTAATTTTTATGGGGTTATTTAATTCGATGTTATATATCACAAAAGTGATATTTAACATATCGGTTATTTGGCCAACATATAGATATTGTAAATAAAATATATAAATATTGGTATATGTATATTGCCTACCCTTATATGCAAGTAAACTTCATGGTTGAAAAACGACTGAAGTACCCAAGCGACAACTTTTGTACAGTTTCCCTCTGATAAAAAAAATACAAACCTACAATTTGCATTACACCGTATATTATATCTTTTTTTAATTAAATTTGATAGTCTTGATTCAGGAACAAATATAACAGAGAGCTAGATATAATATAATTAGTAATTTAGACACTGAAACAACTGAAATAACAAGTAGGTACTAGGTATTTGTGTTGTTGAATTGAGCAAAGTAATATCAAAATAATTTGCCACGAAACGTTTGTGTTATTAACAGTTGGGTTTGTTTGGTTAAGTACTACACCAAGCGGAAAGTTGCTTATGTTAATCTGCACAACCAGTTACATTTAATTGTCTCTTTTTAGCTGACTAGCAATGAATTCTTTTGACGTGTATGTATGAATGTATGTTACAACTTCCAGTTGAAATAATGTGAATTGAATTGTAAATTAAAACTGAATAAAGATTTAAATATAAGGAACTTCATTAGATTATTTTTAACTGTGATAGTATACATGCCGATAGCATACATAAAATATTTTGTTGTTAGATTAAATAATGTTACATTATGATATCGCTGTATGATCTTGGCATAATATAAGCCACCTCTTTCAATCCCGTAGGTCGTAAGAGTCGACTAAGGGAGGGCGAGGGATGGGCAGCAGTGTCCCTCTTATAACATCTATAAACCCTGACTGCGCTTGCCACACCGCCTGTCAAGTGTGGCAACTACATGAGGCTTGCTTATGTTCAGCAGTTGACAGTTAAAGGCTGATATGACGATGATGATGACATGTGATATGAGATGCAAGTATAGCAAGTATTATGCAATACTAATTAAAGTGTTTAAAACCTTGACAATAAATAGACTTAGACCTCACAGTACTTGAACAGCATAATGTATGTTTAGTGGTGTGTGTGTGTGTGATGGTGGATAATAAATAAGCTTTTTAACAGATAATAGATTTCTATATATCTGTAGTAGTTTTAAATACAAAACAAAATATTGATACCTATTATTATAAAAATACTGATAATTTTTCTTCTTCTTCCATAATTTATTATAATATACCTATATTGCAGTTGTAAAAAATTGTATAAATTGTACTTTGTAAAGTGTTTTTATAATAATATCTGTATGTGTTTAAAATTCAATTAAGTAAATAATATTAGAAAATCTTAACAATGCACTAATTCTAAATGTAAGTATTAGTATAATATCTGTGTGCGATATGCAGAAAATACTCGTTTCCTGCCCTTTCTTTTATTTGAACGCGATTCGTTCCGACCCTTCCTACTCTTTGTGCCTTACTTCCACAGTCACATTACTTAATACAATGAAATTTTTTCTCCTTAGATCGCTTGGATGAATTTTCTTTTAGGGGACTTTTTGTTGTGAACTTATGTTGGATTGACTTTTTTTTAAATTAAATTTGAAATGTCTTAAATGGTATATATTTAATTATATGAAATATAAGCAAATTTAGACAATACTATACAATTATACCTGTAATAAGTTTCTAGCTGAAGCAGCATTAAAAAACAAAATATTATATTAGATCATTATCATCATTTATTACTCTCTTCTACTGTGTACTGTTGAACATAGACAATGACTATCGGTTCATAAGTTCTTTAGTGTATGTTACCGATTCGTTTTAGATTCTATTTTAAAATTAAACTATAAATAATATATCTTAATATATTTAGATATTTTGCTTTATGCTCAGGAAGTCCACTTACAGTTTAAAAAAATAAATAATAATATCTTGGCGTAACTCTGAAATCTGCTTAGTGACTAAGCAATTTAGTTTCCGCGTATGGCTAGCGGTTTCTATAAATCTTTGTTGGTAATACGTACTTTGAACGAGTAAGTATTTTTGACGAAAAGATATATCACAGACATAAATATTGAATTATTATAATACTCGTAGATTTAACGGTAAAGTTTTACCTAATTCTGATGAGAATCTAAAATGTGTGCCTTTACATATTTCATTTCTATTTCATAGTATGATTATACTGAGAGTTCCGGAGGGCAGGACTTAAAAATTAGTCCAAAGTTTTGAGATACATTCTTTTTTTCCATTTGCATATTTGTTTATTTCTTTCATCACTCTTTCATTCGACATTACTACAATAAAACAAATTAATGTCCGCAATCATTTTATTACTATTCTGTATGCTTATAAATTTTTAATTAACGTAGTTAAATACATCTACATTTTGATAATTTAATACACAACCCTTTCGTTAACTACTCATCATCAAGGTAGCGATAGTTTTTCAAAATGATCGCTTCAAAGTAATCTGATAACACTTATGTATTTTTGGCTGACAAGAGATTACAAACGTAAATTATATAATTTTATTTACACCTTTTACTATTTACACTTCTATAATAATATTTACAGAATCTAATTCTCTTAGAATTAAAAATTGTAATTCAATATTTTATTCTCAAAGATCCTATATTTATAATATTGATATCATAACCTAAAGTAAATTTTCAGTAACATTATAATACAGTTTTTACTTGTCCATGACAAGTTATTAGTTTTATAAATTTGTCTACAAATGAAAGAAGTAAAGTTGTAAACACACAAAACATTGATAAAATGACCTTATGTCTTACTTACCCTTTGTCTTGTCCGTTTACTTAGAAACTCGTAAATTTGTTTGTGTCTTCACTCTTTCAACATAAGTAAGGAAAACAAGGACAAACATGATATAAAAACAAAAGTAACTGAGAGCAACGTTTAGTAGTGATCCGGCAGATTTGATATGAAATGATTTGGAACGGGACAATGTCTAGTGAAATTTGTATCTGTGATTTAGTTTAACTTGTACAATTAATAATATAATAAATATTAAAATAATTATTATGATTTAGACACTAGCTTTTGCACTGTTGGTACATAACTATTTATTTGTAATAATCAGTTATTACTTCCGAACTTTTGTTCTGCCTTTTTTTAGTACATACCTTATCACAAAAATATCAGAATTGAATAGACTGATATAATTTTGCCAATGTTTTATTGTTTTATCTAAATTTAACCAGTGAATTAAAAGAATCGTTAAATATACTACTTACGCCTGTGTAATATAATTATATTGAAGGAAATTATACATTAAAATACTTTGCGATATAAAAAGTTCTATAAAATAGGAAAGAATATCTACGAGTATAAGTAGGCCAATTGATGTGATCGTTTGAAAACTAACAAACGTTCTTCTTCGCAAAGGACAGGCAGTCAAGTACATACTTAAGAAATAAACAGTCAAACGTATAAAAGTATCTTACTTTCTTCAATTGACGAAAAAGAAATCCCTAAGGATCGCTGGAGTATCAGATATATCGAAGTGTTTATCAAATGTTTAAATCCTTATAAGTAGGCATGTATTATAATTTTATGTAAATTATAATAAAGGTAAAAATAATAACACCAAGTTTTAATTTATGGAGGTACTCGTACATTTGATGTCTAAAAATGTGGATTTGTTGCCTGTGAAATTTAAGTACAAGGTTGTTTTAACAGAAAATCGTTGTTAATATTTTTAAATACAATTATTTTCCACGCCGCAACCACAGGCAACTTGAATCGCTGTTGATTTATAGCGTACTCGGTTGGTTATCGCGTCATATAACATTTTTATATTATTTATTTTGTAATTAGCAAAATAATAAATTTGCTTAAGTGAAAAATTAATACTTTGCATCGTATATAAAATATTTTTAATATAAATAAGATATACGTAAATTGATAGATTGTAAAATATATTTGTCATATAATCAAATCTATTTAAATTAAGGCAGAAAAATAATACACGTGCGAATGAACAGATGTTTATTTAATGTTTCTAGAAACGACTTGGCTACATAATTTTATTTTGGTTTTGTTTTCTGTACTTAGATATTTTTATAACTATTCAGTAAATATATTTTCAAAATGCGAATTGCGAACTGAGATCAAAGGGATCGAGAAAGTTGATTGCCGGAATGAGAATCGTCATCACACATGAACACTATCGACGATTGTTTGTGCAACTAGATCGAAGGCAAATAACGTGGTAAAGAGAGCAACTGAAGGCTTAGATACATTACATATAGATAAGCTTCTTGCTTCCATTCAATCTTGGTTCGTTTCAGATTGGAATAACGAAATCGATTCGCTAGTAATCTCGGCACAGGATTAAGACGACGGGCGTAGTTAGCTGGAAAAACAAAGGAGAATCGGCTAAGGATAATCTTATAACGCTCCTTGTAAAGTAAACGCGTCCCGCTAATCTTCTTAGAGCCCGTTTATTATCAAAATTATTTTACTTTGCCTTTCATAAAAGGATAAAATAGCAAAAGGGTTTTATACTGTTTGAAGTGCCTGACCATAAAATTGGCATATTAATTTGGATTGCGGTATTTTACCACATAGGAAATATTACGATAATAATAAATCGTTGTATTTCAAATATATTCACTAACATAAATTAACAGTTTTTTAAACTCGTCCAAATATAAACATCCGTTCAAATATTGCATTAGAATTATACAAATGTACTCTGTACATGTTTTTTCTTCCGTAGTTTAGAACGTTTAGGAAGTAAGTAGAGTTAACCGTATAGAAATTGGTCATCTTGAAAACAATTTTACTAATGTGGATCCGCCAATGGCTTCGATGAGATGGAGAAAAATGTTGGCAGTTAAAACAGTGAAAACTAGAGCTGTCAAGGAGATGTAGTGCCCAATGAGTGGTAAAATAAGTAGGAGCCAGGGGGTGGGGCGACGGTTGACAGCTACGATAGTAGTAAGAATGGCACGGTTGAGGTGATGCGGCGTTGATCCAGAGCTTTGCATGGCAGCTGGCCGCTCCCCACTCAGCACGTGGACTATCACCGATGCTGATTCTGTGTGAAAAAGAAATACATTTTTAAGTTAGAGACTCTAACTATATACGAAGGATAATCGGTTTCTTAATATATGTTTCTATTTTAAGCCTATAGTATGGGAACTTAATCAGGAATTCAGGATTATGCCCTAGATCTAATTAATTTAATTTGTAGTTACCGATACCTGTACCTTATCTCTAACTCTCTATCTCTATCTCTTATCTCTAACCGTGAAGCAGTTGTGTTGGCATGACTGTGTTTCGGTTTGAAGGGTGGGATATGGCGTGAATTTACTGGGTACCGAGGAATAACACCTGAGTCCTCAGGAGTGGCAACGCATGGGGAGTATCATGGGCGAAACAGTATACTCTGTTATGTCCATGGTACTGCTCATGTCTATAGGCAACGGTTACCACTTTCCATCAGGTGGGCCGTCAGCTTGTTTGCCATTCTAAGTTGTATAAAAAAAAAAAAAACTCAATCCGCAGTTTTGTTAGGACAAAAAAAAATTTATTTGTTAATCTAGGAGATTCAACAGTCTATTTTGTTCTAATCTATTTAGCCGTATAAGTAATAAACTGATATCTAAATATTCAAATATTTTCACAATATTATTAAAATTGCATAATTATCAGTATGTTTATAAATATATATTAATAAAGATATAATAAAATTCACGAGTCTATAATCAGAATGTAGTAAACACATATACTTATTGTTATTTTAGACACCACACCATCTTGAGTGAACAATGTTACAAAATGCTCAATGAATGCGATCAACCGAAAAGAGAATGTTCTACTCTCAACGGTTGGCCGCACTATGGCAGCTCAATAAGCATTTTAATAACCTATTACTAATTCGATATATTAATAAAGCAAAAAATATGAAATGATAAATGAAGTCCAGAATAAAATGTAGATAACGAGACATTTTTTTGTGATTAAAAAATTCAAATAAGGCGGTATTCGAAATGGTTCGAATTTATTTTATAGTATTTTTTCAAGCTATTGAGAGAACAAATATTAGCCAATTATTATATCTCTAAACGGAGAAGTTACTTGGCAAGTAGCTAGGTCGAGTGCGTCTTCAATACATGTACGCGACAAATTGGCGATATTCTGAAGAGAGACTTAAAACTCCATAAGTATGAATATAGAAGAAGCAAGAAAGCATTTTAAATAGTGATTTATTGAATTGAGGACTTTGTAAACTAAAGTCAGGGCATGTAAACATGAAAACCAGCTGTTTCTCGCAGTTTTGGCCGCACACCGGCTGTAGGCATTCTGATTGTACTTTTCTTAGAAAATTTTATATAATCGAGGAGTTTTAAAATGATTTTTTGGATCGACTTTTTATCTAAATATAGTACTTAATTACATACAAACAAGAAGTACTATTTTTACGACTACTGGTTTAGAATAGAATCCTTTGATGTCAAGAATTTCAAATTCATGTTTAGATCTTTTGAAAATTATTGTCACAGGCTTTATGGTTCGAAGAGCATGTAAAGCCGTTGTCATTCGGTAAATCACCTCAGAAGCTTTCATATATAGTGAAGAGTGCTAACAAAATAAAGTATGTATAATGTATAGATGCCATTTCCTTTATATAAATAAAGTTATATAATATTAATTTAGCTAAAAGATAGCCAATACGTTTAATTGATAAATAATAGATTTTACCATTATATATTTGATTTATGAAAGTAGTTTTACTTTTCTAATTGAGAAATTTAAATTTAATTTTTACATTATAATTTAATACTGTTTGTAATAAATACCTTTGTAATAGATTTTATTAGAATAGTTTGACCTTATTTAGGTAATTTAAAACGGAGGTGTCATTTTTCATAGCATTATTCAAGACACAATAAAAATTACAATATATATATATATATATATATACACTTACTGTTTTCCGCTATTGAAAGAATAAATGTATGGCTATTGGTATTCAATATTTAAGGCATTAAAGGTTATTTAGATAAGCGTTCACACTCTATGACTATCTATATTCAGAATAAGTACAAATATATCTCACTTGTTTCATTCTTGTGCTTATATTTGTGGAAAACAAGAAGGTTCTAAAAATATTTTTCTTGATGTGATCTAAACCTGTCAGTACATATTTATTGTATGATGACGGATTCAGTTGGAAGTTATTGGGGTTCACGCAATGTTTGCTTCAGATGTCTATATATAAACTTTAATAAAATCTATTTGGTAATTCTTTGATGGCATTCTTATTCTTTATATTTATTGACATTCTTCAATTATTGTTATATTAGTAATAAAGTGAGCAAATTATATCAAAACAGAATTATTACAAAATTATGAAAATTTTATTCCAGTGATTGAATATGAAATTCAATCCATATTGAGTTATTGAGAAATATCCCGCCATTTCGAAATTTTTCTATCATTCAGTAACTATATTGGAATATGCTTTTCATATTTTAATAATATTTTTAAATCAATTTGCAGTTAGTAAATTGTCAAGTCGTAATTAAATATTTAACGTAAAAATGTTCAATTCTACAACAAGTATTTACTCGAGCTATATATATTTATGAGATACTCATGTGAAAATATGTATATGTGTATAATATTTTTTATTAGATATGTACTAAATAAAAAACTCCAATTTAAAACATACCATTACATAGATAACTACCTTAAAAAGGTCAATTTTTATGAAGTTCATCTGATTATTTGAATTTTATAGTAGTTTAATTCAGTCTGTCATGCGGCAATTGAAAATCAATATATTTATTAGTTTAAACAGATTAAATAAAACATTTTATATTACTGTGTCAGTAATTTCACATTGGGTTATTATAAATTATAAATGCACGATCGAGAGTCATAATTATGATATATTACTGCAGTTCCAATATTAAATGGTTGATTTTATCTGGTTATCCCATTTATTGTAACAGCGTGTATAATAACTGCAATAACTTATAAATAAAAACTTCAAGTTATATTTTTTTATACAGATAATTTAATCCTATGTTAATCATATAGCATAATTGTCACGATAAAGGCTACTTTTAAAAAATCACAATTAAATTTGAAATTTACAATTTTTTTTATTATCAAAATTTTTAATATTAACTTTGATTAATATTTAATATACAAGTATAAATAATTATTAAATGTATTATGAATTTTCATTTAAATTTTTTCATATCAAATTATTTATATATAATTAAACATTTTTTTTATAATCTGTAAATACACATATCTACTAGTAAGTATAAATAATAAAAAATTAAGTCCATTGAATAGATATTTTCATTAAAGAAAATAGGTATTTTATCTAAAATTTTGGGATAAATTATAAAAGTAATATATTTGTGTTAGGTATATAATACACAATTTCTAATATAACAACATCAATAACAACAATTATTTAGAACAAATACCTAACAATAGTTTTTCCTTTTAGTTTTTAACGGCCAAGTATGTGGTAAGTACTTGTATAATACACAGCTAAAAATACTTCGGTTAAAGTTTTGGAAAATGAAATGAACAAAAAGTTTATACACTTTTAAACTATTATTAATTCTAAATAAGTTTGGCGTACAAGAAAATCAATCAAATCACCAGGTTGTTGTACAAATTGAATCATAATTATTATCGTAGTTTTTAACATTTAATTCCTTTTACACGACGATATCATAATGTACATATAAATTTTTCTATATCAACCAATTTATATCTTTTTCTTCCTGCCCTTTTTCTATATCTATTTTGGGCCGGCATAATATGTTTTCTTCTTTCCATTCTTGTCTATTTGCAGTCATATCACTATTTTTTCTTGGGTCTAGCCCTGTACTTATAACGTAATACCTTATTTACCACATTCTTTTCTTCCCTATGCGTCACATGTCCATATCATGATAAAATAATTAACTAATCTATATTATGTTAAATAACTAATATTATAAAGAGAAAAGATTTGATTAAATAACTGCTGAAACGATTTTAAAAAATTCTTTAACGTATAGGATGTTACATTATCAGCAAGTAATATAAGCTATATATTATATTTTTAAAAATTATATCAATTTCTTTCTATAGAATTCGAATTTGAAATTCGAAGAATGATAATTGTCATGAATGTGTATGAGGGGTATACTCGTATGCACCAAGGAAATTATAGAAAAGTCTATTTCGTGATATGATATATTTTATTTCTACGGGCGATGATTACCACATATGCATCAGTCAAAAGGTTTTTTACAATTTCTTTTCTTTTTCGTTTGTTTTTAAAAATAATGAAAACTAGCATGATTTCAGCTAATTACAAACTAATCTAACAAGGTACCTAATCATAGGTATAATTTGTGTTGTTTGCTATATCACATCTAATTTACTTTAGCTTATAATTCATTATAATTACTGGGTGTATTGCAGGTGTAGAACATTTAACGCTATCAACAACAACCAGGAAACGCTACTAAATTATTATGTCATACCACCCCCTTTACATAAAGGATTACGGGGGTGCATAAAACAGTCGCTACGTGCAGTCCATGCAAATTATACATTTTACACCCAGCAATCAGCATGTCTCCACTATGATTGACTAATCCACAAATGCACATAATATTTGAAATAATTTTAGATTGATACATTATGAAATAGCGATTTAAAAAGTAATGTGCAATATTTTACTACTTTTTAGTAACTAAATAGCCTAACTCATACACGAGCCATTTAAACTTTTATAGCCTATTTGTTCTATAACCCCCGTTTAAGAGTGCTTATATTTAACTTAGAAATATATACCATAACGAGCTATGCACAGGAGTGTTTGTATTGTTATGATGTAAATATGATGGACATCTTTTACTTCCAGATAGTAAATATAACAACAAGGCAATAAAGTGAAAACAACATATGTAAGAGTTAAATATGAAAATTGATTATAAAATATGACAAAGATGAATGTCAAAAATACATCGTTAGCACTTGCTTCAATTTACCTGACAAGATAAAGAGTAGAAGAAAAACAACGTTGTGTACTATAGCTGTAATCTTAAATAGCTTCAATGCCACTCGTGAACTCAATAGAACTTACCGGAACTGCTCGGAGCACAAGTGTAGTTGCCAGAATCGTGGGGTGCAGCGCGCGCTATTAACAGTCGACTAGTCCGTGTACGTTGCTCAGTTTCAACACTAATTCCGCCACGTTGTGCATAGTTCACCACTTGCTCCCCTCGGTACCAATAGATGAAACTGTAATGAAAACATTTCTACAATAAAGGGATTCTTAAGAAAATGTTGCCGTTACTAATCCAGCATTTAGAACAAATCTAGTTAAAGATGCAAAGAATAAGTTTAATCATTATGTTGTCTGTTATTTTTTTTTTTTTTATAATTAAGCAATAATATGTAAAATTGTTTCATTTTTCTTAGACTATAATCTAGATTTCAGTTAATTTTGTCAGTTATTTATCAACTAAATATATTAAGATAACAACATTTTAGTTGAATAAGGTTTTTTTTTTCTGAAATTAGATTAAATAATTAAAACAGTTCGAACTAAATACGCAATAAACATCTAGAGAGTTGTCATTCTATTGTATTTAATTTATTCACTTTGTGTGTCTCTTCTGAACATAGGAAATTGTTCTTACATACAATTTTAATTAAAATGACATTTAATTATGATATTGCTGTTTAATTTCCTCGCAATGGAAGTGAAACGTTATGTTCAAACTTTGTCATGAAACAGATTTTATTCCCTTTACATTTGTTTATGGTTTTGTTTGGAGTGCTAAAATATTTTATACGAAATAAATTGTTTTACAACAATTATATATATTAGTAGTAATAATACAAGAATGACAAATATTCAAATTGCCTGATGGCAATTGCGTGATACAATCTAGAATAAGGGAATCACTTTGGTTCTTCTGCGGATATCCGACTGACCTAGACCGACATAGCCCGAAGCATGAACAAGCTGAAGTGGCAATTAGCTGGTCACATAGCTCGAAAAATCGTCAATCAATGGGGAAGAGAGCTTCTTGAGTTGCCACACGGGATAGTGATCCCGTGCAGGCAAACCCAGTGTAAGACGACTTTCCATTAGATAGAGCAACAACTTCCAATACATTGCTACAGAGAGTCAATGAATGTAGGTTGCTCAGTATCTTTCCTTATAGGAGTCTATGAGAACGCTTATACTTAGCAGTGGATGGTTAATGGCTGAAATGATGATGATGGTTACAATTAACAATTTTAGCTGATGTAAAAGATTATGTATAAAATTTATATAAGTCCTGCAAATCTGTTTCAACGATATCTATGAAATTATTTTAAATATTTCACCTTGTATTCGTAATGTGTTGCTATATTATAAATTTAATATTTGCAATTTTGTAGAAATTGGGAATCTTACTAAACTAAAATAATAACTACTTATAAAACTACAGTAATAATTATAGTCAAAATCTTTTGTAATATGAATAAAAACATATTACGCCGACCCCAAATAATTGGGATAAGGGTAGAAAGATAATGATGATACGAAGCAACCAATAATAATAAAAAAAACTGGTGAAATTAAAAAAAGCAGTCTGCGAGCTCTGTATAGTTAAAATGCTAAATTATCTATTATGTAGATTTAATGGTACGTTTAAGGTAATTTTAATGCTTTATTATGCTATAGTGTATGCGTGCTACGGTGGTTCGGGCATGTGAAAAGAATGCCAAATGAAAGTTTGACAAAACAGTATATAATGCGAATGTGGAGGAATATAAGTACGGGGAAAGACCTAGACTAACCTATTTAGTTTCTGGAGCCGGCATTCATGCATGAGATAAGTTATGAAATTGCAGGATGCAAGAGATGTAGGAATAGAGGTCTTTGGCACTCAATTCTCTTTTCCTACCCCGTAAAGGACTTGAAGTGAATGTAGATTATGTAGAAAATTGTTTATTTATTTTCTTTGTACATGTAAAATACAAATGTGACGAAGCGCTGATGTTTGGTCACATTTGTAATAAACAAATAACAAAGAAAGTGAATAAAATATTAAAGTTAAAGATAAATTACATTTTAATTAACTAGTTTGAGGCAAATGTGATAGTTAGATTCTCAGTCCTTTACATAGTTAGTTGGAAAGATTAATATAATATCCACGACGACGACGCTTACGAATAGATAGACCGTTGTAATTACATTCTACAAGTCTGTGAAGATATTACGTCGAACTGTTTTTGAATTTTCTGAATAGTTACTTACAAATTAAGATTTGTTGCTATGTATTTAATATTAAAAATATATATATTTTTTTATAGTCTATACAAATCTAATACACCATCTACATAACTCATGAGGTGACCTGAATAAAAAATGTCATTTCTTCACACGAAGCGTATCATCTTATCAATATTCAAATTGAAGGTCCCTCGCCGAGAGATCTCAGACACAGGGCACCATTAAATGGTGATAGGCAAAGAATGCCTCACTTAGGGACCCCAGTCGACCCTTTTATCTGGAAATAAGCTTATCATGTTTATGGATGCGAAGACTAAATGTATAGGCGCAGTGCGGTGTGAAAAGGTACACGATAACACACTTCCATTATAAGATCGTAAGATTTGGAAGGGGTCACCTATTCACAGAGACTTATGTGTTTACAACACTATTGACTGCGCCCATAGTACGGTAGTAAAATGAATTCCGCACATGAAAGGGCCGTGTTTAATTTTGGGCGTATAAAATGTTATGAATACGTATTTTTATTCGCCTCACTTTATAACTACAATCCGGTATTGTAGTATCATCATCACAGTCATAATTATAATTATTTGGTTCTTCTAATAATAATACTTGTAGTATTATTAGGTACATATGCGGTCGAAAAGTTCTCAACTTAAATCTTTTTTTTTACATTATCACGTCCGTCGTAGGCAACGATATTTTTTTAATGTAGAATTGAATTGTATATCTAGGACATAAAGATGTAAAAATATTCAGTCATAAAGCTGTATTGAAGCAAAAGTAAAATTGGCAACATTGTGATATTGTGTTAAATTATGAGGTTCGCTTCATATGTGTCGGACTCACCGTACATACATTTCACAAATGAATTTTGGGGATATATGAATAAGGATAACCTACATAGGGAGAAAATATCAGCATGAATTATTTTATAATGAAATGTAATTTACACTTGCTTGTAAGTATTTCATGCTTTTTTTCTAACATTAAGAGCGACCGTAGATGAAGTATAAACCTAAGTCAGTACATCAGAAATTTACATCTTTTCACGGAGCATAATGAGATTTGGAAGCGGATACTCTTGAGTTGTTCTTGATTTGAGAGTTGTCATTACGGCCTAAAAACATTAGGTACTCTGAATTTTATATAACAACTGTATCAAATAATAAAAAAAAAAAAAACTGGAGGCGTGATATAGCTTAATGATATACGAGTGTTTTTTTTATACCAAAGAAAATATAAATGAAATGTTGTGTTAATTATGGAAATATGTATAATTATTACAAAAAGTTTATTTAATACGTAATTAGATGATACACATTATAATTAGAATAAAACTTAAAGGCGAAGTTGGACCAACCAAGCGAATTATTATCTTCTACATCAACTTTTGTTTAGTGTAAACAAGTTACAAATATAAATAAAATAATATAACGAGACATCGAAGTGCCTGATTTTATTGCTTGACTGCATTCGTGAATAACTTTGTCAGTTATTCCAGCGCTATTCTCTTAATTTAAACTTACCTAGTTCTACGTTCTACCTATTTTTCTATTGTACTCGTAGTTATAATTTTTAATCAAATTTCATTTTGTATGGATGTTCTTCTTTTAAACGGACCATTTTTTTTATATATATAGGTACTACCTATAGTAGCCGATTTTATAATAATTTTCAATTGAAAGGTTTTCTACGTTCTTTTCTATTATACTAATTACGTTAAAATTGAATGCAATCAAATTTATGTACATCGGTTAGCAGATTATGGGAGTTAACAATATTAATAAACTGACAAATGCATGTAGTTATATGTTTGTTATTTAAAAGTCGTGTGCGTCTATTATTTTATTACGTAACATAAAAGACCGCACAAAATGTTTTTGATGTTGCAATTTCCTCGATAATTTATTATATGGCAAGGTTATTTTCCTTATCGCCATAAAGTAAATCGTAATCATACAAAGTAAACGGTGGAAAATCCGAGATTTATGAAATTCACTTGAAAAAATATAACTGACAAGAGCTACGTGGCTACATGAGGTTAAAGACAAATTATAATAAAGAAGAAAATATTATTTTTATATTTTTCTAGTACAGTTTTCGATACAGAAGTTTTTAATTTTAGTAATTAATGTATGTACTATCAAGGAATGCGTATGTATCTACATCATTCACAGTGAAATATATATTTTTTCTCACAATTTGTCTCTTAAATAGACAGAAAACTATCTACATAAACACTACCTATATATAGGGCTGTCGTCACCTGTTCCTCTCTTGAGCTGACTTTACCCATTTTTTGTAATTTGAATACGACCAGTCAAAAAAGAAACGCACTCAGTACGATACAAACATTAATATAAATACAACGTGTGCACAAATGTTATTTGTGAATGAAGTAGTAACAGATTTATATGGATCACCTGCTTTTTATATAAAAATTCCGAGTAAAACACTAGATAGAGGACAGGTTGGGGAAAATTTAACGTATACAAGATGTTATTAATCTAAGGAAAAATTAACCGAAGTTGAAATCACTTCAAATCCCTGATACTGTTAGAAAAATGCTTGTTCTTTTCCACAAATTGTTTTAAAATTAATGATCGGTTCGAATCTGTTCAATATTTTAAAAATTACTTTATAATTATGTATCCACATCGTTTAAAGATATTAGAAATAGAATCGGTCTATTTTTAATATCTGTAAATGATAATCTAATATAATAGTATTAATTCTCTATAGTTAGAACCTCTATACCGATATATAGATTTACAAGTTATAGAGGATTAATACTATTAAATCTTAATTCTACTTGACTACATAATCCTTACCTTGGTGGATCGGGGGCGTGTTTCGCGACGCAAGTCAGATTAATATCTGAACCAGCCCTGACGAACAATTCTGGACCGGACAATATTTCCGCTTTTGAGACTGTTGACAAAAAAGGAAACTGTTAGATTATGCATGTAGATTACATATTTTTCTATAATACTGATTGACTATAATATAAAAAATATAATATAATATATATAAAATATATGTACCAAATTTAATTCAAACCTCTTCAGCTGTGTAAGTATGATTAGGAAATAATTATTAGTATGATTAAGTAACAAATAATACACAACTATAATATATTAAAACATAATATATATATAATTTGATACTGGATCAAAATGATTTTTTTTAATTCTACCACCACAAATAATAACAAAATAATACCAAGTTCAATAAAATATCATGCAATTATACAGGGCGTAAGAGACAGGTTGGAAAAAACTGAAGTAATGAATTCAGAGCATTACTCTGAACAGAAAACCATTGAAATTTCTGTCCGGAACTTTTAAAATTATTTCCTGTTCTTTTTTTATTATAATCATGTAATCTATGATATTATGTCATAATATAAAGAGATTATAATATTTTATAGTGAAATACTATGAAATACCAAAAAACAGCAATCTAATATTCGTATTAAAATCCTACCGCCACACGCTGAATCAACAGTTTATAGTCAACGCCAACGCCACAAACATACAAAAACTACCTACGAAGAAGCGCCTTGATTGCGTGTTGTAGGTATTAAGCGTCGATCGATCGTAAAAATTTCAAATACATTGCGCGGCATCAAAACTAAGAATTGTTAATTATATGAACGAGGTGCATTTACGGTGGACAATAATCTGCCATCTAATTCAGACCATTCATCTGAATCAGCGGTTTTCGTTTTAGCCAAACTGTCTCTTCCACCCAGTATATATTCAAGTAAATTTTTATCTCATAATATTCATTTGTTCCGCTTCATAAAGATCACCTGGTTTTGTTTATATGGTATTTAGGCAACTCTTTGAAACATTACACTAATAATTCGTAGAATCTGAGAATATCTAATGTAATTTGCGGCAAATAAACTTTCTCACGCAAAAATTGTTTCTGCGTAAGAAATCTTATCTTACAATAATTTGTATCGTAACAATTCTACTTTGAAATAATATAAAGAAAACAATAGAAGTATTGCTTTTAGAGCTCAAAAGGAATGGAATTTACAAACAATGTTTTAAGATACATTTTGAAAGAAATTATCATCTTATAATTTATGATATTAAGATTGACTTTAGCTAGAAAGTAGGAGCGAAAACAAAAATTCAAGGGTGGGTGAAATCGCTTCTTCTAGCGGTTCTGATAGGATAAATAATATAAATGTTAAATGGTTGATAAATAGACGGACATTTAAAAACTAGCATTTATGTTTCTTATAAATATTATCATATAAATATAAATAATATAAATAAAAAAAAATCCTTATCAGTGCGCAAAGAATCTAATATGTAAAGCAATATTAGTTTTCTACTAATCTTACCTAACTACTCCTACCTAAAATTTAATTTGTGAAAATGTTCCGGTGGATGGATGTTTATTAATACTTTACGATAAAAATATTGAACGGATAAAAGGATGTTTTATATACTGATTCATGCTAGCGACGTCGCAATATACAGCTAGTAATATCATAATTATGAAAGTATATTTGTTATTGAATCATACAAAATGACTGAAGGAATTTAGTATTTGAGTATACCGTCGATTCGATATGTAGGTATATCGTCACTTAACAAATGGTTATGCAGGTGGGCAAAGCGGCAGAAAATAACTAGAATACGGTACATCTGTGCCACAAATTTCTTTCAAATTTATATGTGATTAAAACATAAAAGAGCAAAAATTTCTTATACTTTTATAATATTTGTAGAATTTATACAACAATGTACACATAATACACTGCGTCCCGAATTTAAATCATCATCATATCACTCTTTAACTATCCACTGCTGAACAAAAGCCTCCCCCTTGGGGGGTTTTGACAGTAGTTACCACGCTTAGCAGGCAAATTGGCAACCGTAGTTAGGCCTTGGAGATGTTTTAAGAGCGACGCTGCTGCCCATATCTCGCCCTCCCTTAGTCGCCTCTTACGACACCCGCGGGAAAGGAAGGGGTGGCCTATTCTATCCTCGGACCACGTAGCATAGAATAGGCATAAAATAATAAGGAATTTGAATAATATCTCCTAAATAACATTGGTTTTAATAAAAAGCACAATATAAAATTAAGCCTAACGAAAGAGAAGGAAACATAATAGTCGACACAATTAACTAAAATATTTGTTTTAATTATATAATTGACAATTACTAGCAAGTCCAATTAGCTCTCAGTAGCTTTTTTTTTCTTGTTACTTTTGTAGTGACAATTCTTTAGAATTATAGTAATAATTGTAAAGAATATAATAACATGAGAATTATTTTATTTTAATTAAAACATGGGACGGCGGCAGATAATGATGCTCGATAAAAATATTTAAGTAAGTTTTTGATTGTTAATAAAATAGGGCAACCTATTTCCACGAACACGGTTATTTTAGTAGGCGTATTGATTTTATTATCAAAAACAATGGAACGCCAAATGTTGATTTGGCGTTTCTTCCTACCGCAATGGAAGACATGCGTAGGATATATATATATATATATATATATATATATATATATATATATATATATATATATATATATATATATATATATAATACTAGCTGTTTCCCATGGCGTTGCCCGGTTCTAAGAGCTACCTCTGAAGTACGGCTTCGCGAATGAGAGTTTGCGGTACAATAAGTACGAGCTCCTGCTAGTCCTCGAAAGCGACAGCGTCAGGCTCTAATGGGAACGATCCATCATCACGGACAGGACAGTTCTTACGAACCAAACAAACTTGATATCGTGGTGATGGAAAAGGAATTCTCTAGGGTATTTTTGGTGGATGTCATCATACCGCATGACGAGAACCTCGTGAAAGCCGAAACCGAGAAAAAGAGAAAATATCTCGACCTGGCTCATCAGGTGACCGAAATGTGGGAGGTGACGTCTACCGAAATCATTCCAATTGTTTTGTCGGGGAACGGTCTTATCTCAACTAGTCTGGAACAACATCTCAGACGGTTGGGATTCCGAGGCGGCTCACTCCCGGGAAAGATGCAGTGGTGCTCTTAGATACTGCTCGCATTATTGTACGCCGATTTCTTTACCTGGAGCCCTGAACCCCGGTCGATTGTGCTTCTGCCGGGGGTTACTTTGCCATCTCCTCTCTTTAAGAGAGGAGTGGGATGTGATTTTTTGTTAAAATTAAAAAATAAGAATAAAATATGTAATTCTTTAATTTGTTATTTAATAAAAAAAAAATTCGGGAAATATTTTCTGATGAAAAGAAAGGGCAAATAGTATTAAAACGAAACTAGAATTTATAAATTTCTTATGTTATTTGCATTTGATTGCTTCAATTACGATGAATACAGTAAATAATTAAGGTGAAATTATACTTAGAGCTATTCTCTAAGCAATGTCTTTCAGACAACCTTTGGGTTAAAAAATATAGAAAAAAAGTGGCGCACTATAATATATATTGGAAGAAATAAAAATTATTAGCCTCATTTAAAAAAAAAATGTCCTTTCAGCGAAACTAAACTTTTTGCCTAATACATTAAATAGCATTACTAGATTCTTAGCTTAACAATTTTGATTTCACCTCGATTAATATAGTTGTTTTACTAAGATAGAGTTCTGTAAAATCCAGTGATAGTGTATAGACACCACGGTTTATGTAAAAAAAAAAAACTGGAGTAATACGTGTATAGTTGTTTATGACAATGCTCTAATTGTTAACACAATTCTTGCCCTTTTAAGAAACTATTATAATATTAATAATGAAAATAAGAATCACTCAAGATCATGCTTGAATCTTCAGATTTTAATACGAAGTGAAATTTAATCGTAAACAATTTTATAACAAATAGGTTTTTGCTCACTACTTCATATACATGGATAGTTATTATATATATATATATATATATATATATATATATATATATATATATATAGTTAGATATTTATGAAAATAGCAAAATCGACCTGAAACAGAGCATTTCTAGATAGTGTATCGAGATAAATCATATATGAGTGTTTAAATAAGATCTTCAGGAACACAATTGTGAAAACGGCAACCAATTTGATGCAGTAGTTTTTACATAATGCTAGAACAAATAGACATACAGAGAGACAAAATTTCTAAAAATTATTGTTTTGGTATCTATTGGTCTTATTAATCCCTTATATCAATTTTTTATATATCTTCTATGTATAGACATCGTACAGTTATAATTTTATTACATTAGTAAAATAATATTAGCTGCGATACTACGGTAAGTCAATAAGGATGTTGCTGTTTGTGAGAGTTGTGATTTATTATCTGCTACCCACTCGAATGTCAGTCGAGTTATTGAATGATGAATGATAATGCAATACCTTATTTTATAAGTTGATATTAGAGCTACTATGTATAACTTATAAATTCAATAAGTTTTATTAATAAATAAATTGCATGACCCCATTTTGTATGGTAATATTAGAAATATATTCAAATGGTCTCTAGGTGGAGAGCTTTGACCATAAAATAAGTGCAAATGGATGCTACTTTATGTCGTCATATCGTTCACTGTCCACTGCTGAACATGGGCCTTGGAATGGATGCTTATTTATATATATTTTAGAATAATATTATAATTTTATTTGAAATTTTGGAAGAACAAACTATCTGATGACCCACCCGATAGAAAGTGGTAAATGAAATTGTTGTTCTATTAATATTATAAATGTGTTTATGATTTTGTTGGGATTTTACTTATTCAATCTTAAACGGTAATACAATTTTAACTGATATTTGGTACAGAGATAAACCATATTATAGAATAGTATTAACAGTATTTTTTAATTGTTATAGTTTTTTATTTTATTCTAAATTTTCGAAAACAAAATCGCAGGTTGTAATATATGAACTCGTTATAATGTACGAACTGTAGCTCTTATATTATTATTAACAATAAAAATATAAAAGTGAGTTTGTTCGCTTATTTGTTACCTCGCGACGTATTAACAGCTCAAGTAATCGTCATGAAATACGTATATCTCATATGCATCATAAATACATAATAGAGATAGAAAGCATATTTATTAACTGGGATAAGAAGTGATATAGATCACTTTTAATACCAATTAATCAACGTATCTTGGTCTTATATAATAAAAAATATATGAAAGTTGGGTATAAAATACAAGTTTTAATTAACATAATTAGAAGACTAAATCCATTAAAATACAATTTTTGTTTTGAAATCTAAAGAAAAATAAACATAAATTTAAAATTTTCACTATAAAACTGTTTTTATTATGAAATCCTATTAGCTTTCATAAACATTCCTCGAAAACTACACTATGAAACACAAAATAATTATGATGTAAAGTATACAACTCGCGGCTTCTCTTTTATCGAATTAAGATATATTTTATTTGATGTTGACCTTAAGAAATGGTTCCAAATTCTATTGAATGTCATATTGTCAAAGTTGTTATAAAGTTTCATTTTTATAATATTACAAAAGGATAAGAAAAATATAAAATGTAACATACAACAATGCTTTTTATGTTATATCAGATATTACATTTCCATAATTGAAACTGTAACAACGTTTATTAAAATTTGCTATTTAATTTACATAATATAAAAAAAAGAATAGAGTAATAAATTATCTTTACCATCTAGTTATATTTTTTAACCAAAAGTAAAGTAAGAGACAGTCTGCTCTTGTGATTATCTGCCTTTTGCATAAACTTGTAATCTTATTTGATACTAATTGTATTCCGCGGTTTCACTTGTGGTCGAATTGTAATATTGGATATCTTTTAACCTCAAGAAATTAGCTAGCAAATACAAAAATAATTATTCAAATCCGACTGGTATTCCCAGAAATAGCACGTTCAAATAAAAATAAAAAAATAAACTCTATCGTTTTATTATATTAACAAAGATTTCGCAAATATCTTTCTAACACTTCATTTACGGTGTAACTCAATTGAAATTTTACTACGTATTATAAAATCAGTGATAGACGATTTATTAACTTTCGAATTAATAATATGCCAGTTGAAAAAGTTTACTGGGTTTCGTTTAAACTATATGGATTCCATTGTTATAAATCTCGTAAAATTTAACCGTAAGATTATCCGGATTGAATTGTTCCGGTTAGACATACAGTTAAGATATAATGCATAATTTTTGAAAAATAAATTAATATTTAAAAAATAGATAAATACATTACTATTAGATGCATGGTGTAAACCCCGCATCTGTAAGTTAGCATCGTTTTTTAATAAAATTTTACAAATATGACTATTTAAAAATTATTTTTTTAGTTCCAGCCGTTTCCCATTCTTAAACTTCAATTTTAATTTCTTTTCAGTAGTGTTAAAAAATTAAGGTAGCAAAAGAAATATATATATATGTACATAGTTAAATAAATAGATGACGCAATATAATGATTATCCATCACATGCAAGCGTGGTTACATTTCATCTGTTACCAGAAAAATCACTCAATAAATATATAATAAATTAAAGTGTATATACTTACGGGTACTAATATCGTCTCGTTATTTATTTATTTTTTATGGGAAGGGACATTAAATGTTATAATAAGATACCGAACGATATTTTGGATCTACCTTTTAATAAATTTAAAACTGTTATTAAAAAGCACTTATTGAACAAAGCCTATTACACTCTAAACGATTACTTAAATGACCAGCATGCATGGTGTTAGTCAATTATGCACGGGCTTTTCAATGACTATGTAATTTTAGACATAGCACATTTAAATAAATACACATAATGTTAACAGAGATTTAAAAGAGTAACTGTTGAGTTTTTTGCGGGCTCTTCTCAACAAATAACAACTTTCCGAAAAATGATAATTTAAAAGTGTTTGTAAACAAGTTTATTCGGATAAAGATGATTTGAATTTGAATCGCTATTTATATTATTACAGGAACTATATTTCTAGGGTGTAATAATTTTGGCAGATGACTGTTATAATTTTAAAATAATTATGAAGTATTTTCAATTTTATGTAGGTTGACCATTTCCTAAATTAATATAAGATATATTTTATTTTATTCGCTCGAGATTAGTTGCTTATTTATAAGATACTCACCAACAACTGTCAGACGAAAAGACAGACTAATCTTAGGCTCAGTGGACACTTGACACTCGTAAGCGCCAGAGTCCCGGGGCTGAGCAGGAGCCACTCTGAGCGTCCATTCATCTGAACCGTCTGCGTGAAGGGCAGCGAAGCGCGCATCACTGCTATACGTATGGACACCCACAGTTAGGATGTGTAAGTCCCGTTTACGGATCCAGGAGACCTGCAAAAGATAATTAGTTTTTAGTAAACATTCGACCAATTCGTAAAGAATTATTCAAGTACACGACTTTTTAACTTGACCGGTTTAGATTTTTCTTTATATTATCCTAGATATTTCGATGTCAAAGTATTTTAGTTTAATAATCTGTAGTGCTATTGTATAAAGTTAAACTTGAATAGTGTCACACTTTCTCTAACGAATCGAATAATTTACATTGGGTATTCTGTAAATAAGTAAGATCAATGACGCAATTTCGTTAAGATGGCGGTATATTGAACTGGGGTAAGTGTGTTGTAATTTTTAGGAATTCACCCAACCAATTTGAAAATTCATTTTACTTCGGTTATCATTAAAAAATGTCAAAGCTTAAATATATGAAAATTGCATGAAATGAAACTGAAGTGAATTGCGAAATAAAATGCGAAACTTTACAGAACGCGATCTTAGGTAGTTAATGTATTACCTGTATATAAAAAAAATAATTACACATTCTATATATCTTCTGAGAACCTACCTATAATGACTATTATAAATTTTATATTCATCTTTATACTTATTTAAAATAAATAAATATTATCATTTTGTTTAATTTTTCGATTTCATAATCATTCAAACAAACGCACATAACATTTATATGGCATAATACTTATTAATGTTTAATTGGAATTGTTATGGAATTATACTAAACTGACGGGTTCTTACCACGATTATTTATTTCAGTACCGCCGTAGCTGACACGCCAATATTTCGACCCTGTTGCAAGAGTTATGATCACGACATAACTGATGAAATGCGGGTACAACTTAAGTGCAAACATATCTGTTTACACTCTGTCTGCGTTGTTTATTTACATATATAACAACTGACAGAACTTACTAGAAACTCAGGTCGACATTAAAACTTATAACGTCACCTAACTTTTTACTTTTATTAATTAATATTTCGTTAATTAATTGTTTCAGGTATTGAAAAGTTGAATTCATGATTACAGCTGAAATTAGTTAAATAAGCCATCTCAGTGGTCTTTGTGAACAACTGTGGAATATACTTAACTGTGTTCCGTTGTTAGTTTGTAGGCATGCTAAGAACCCGTCCGTTATTTACATACTTGAAACTTTATAAAAATATCGTTAAAATATGTAAATTATATTTTAATAATTACTGTGTTATATTAAAAATTTTGTCCACCGCATTTGCTTTTCGAGCTATCGATTTTTCGAATTATACAGCCGGTCTACCAGCCACTCAGTTTGTTTGTCTTTTGAGATATATCGGACATTAGACACAAAATACTGTTTTAAAAATAATATATTTTATTAAAGAAGAGAAGAAGAGATACGACTTTATAGAAAACATAGCACATAATTTTATCAAGAAACACTTAAGAGGGGAATGAAAATCAATGTAATTTACGAGATAATTGTAATACAAAGTGGAAGCTAATATTTCAGGCCTTCGTATTTAGTAGGGCGACGCTGAGCGTTTCTATCTGAATTTGTATTCCGAACGATTCACAGCTGGGTTTTAAAACTTTCTTCGTGCTGCGGTTTAAAGCGTGGCGGAGACAGAACTAACTGGATATAACTAGAAATCCCTGACAATTCTTTTTCTCAGCGCTTAAGTTTTTATGGGTCAAACCTAGATCAAACGGGACTTTTGCTAACTAGAAAAGGACGATACTGACACTGCTTACAATTTATGTTTATTAGTAAAATGGAATCCATCAATTTCTACTTCTGATTTGCTAAATATAATAAATATACGAGTATATTTCATTATACCTCTTCAATTTAAAATATATGTAATATATAGTAATAACCGTGTCACGATATTCGTTCTTGTCAATCTCCGAAACCGTTCTACCGTTTGTAATGAAATTTTCTTAATATGTGTTATTTGGTCCAATTTGAGAGATAGGATAGTTACTACCCCGATAAGTAAGGACCTTATTAAGGTCTTGCATCCATGCGTAAGAGAGGTAAGTCACTAATTAGATAATTACAAACTTTCTCATTTGGTGCTAATTAGTAGTATTTCTTAAGTTTAAAAATCAGATGTTATGATGATGCTCAATCACGCTTTGAGCTCACCGGATTTGAATGTAGGTGTACTATACAGACCATAATAATATATCTAAATATATATTAAGGCAAACAAAATTTATTAAAGTACAAAAGCTACCAGCAATGTAATTAAGGTATTCTATCCAATATCTAGGCAATGTTTGGAATACCTTAGGCGTGTATATTATCCTGACCGTATATTATATTTACAAATAAATAATTATACTTACAAATAAAGAAATTTGAACGCAAATGCTTGTTCTATTACTAATATTATAGTATGGGATTCTTGAAAAAGAGTGCATTAAAGTTTTTTAAAGGTCGGCAACGCTTGCGTGACTCCCTTAGTATTGTAGGCATTTACAGGCTACAGTGGTCGTTTACTATCAGACGGGCTGTATAATTGTTTAGCATCTTCGTGGTATACAAAAAAATACCTATAATATATCATCATAACAGCCACTTAATTAACTATTCACTACTGAACATAGGTCTCCCTTATTGGGAGTTTTGCCAATAATTGCTGCGCTTGGCAGTCGGGTTGAAAACCGCAGTGAGGCTTTGTTGATGTTTTAAGAAGGGCACCGCTGTCCGCCCTCGACCATTAAGTTCCCTTAGTCGCCTCTTACAATACCCACGAGAAAAGAAGAGCTAGCCTATTCTATGTCGGGACCATACGGCAATTGAAATACACATATTACATGTTTATGCACTACTGAATTAAAAATTAATAATTTTGAAAATCTTCTCAGAGCATTTTATTTATGCAGAGTTTTCGTCAAAACGGCCAGCTCGACTGTAAAAATAATATTTGAATTCAGCAAATAAATTATAAATAAAAAAATATATGTAATGCAGATGTTAACAATATAATTCTGTTCGCCATTCTGTTTAGCATTATACTAAACTACCAAAATCATCTCATCAATCTTCCATTTTAGATAATTTTAGATAAAGATATAGGTAGCTATATATTAGTTTAAATTTAATTTAAATCATACTTCATGTTTTAGAAATGATGTGTAAAAACAAAAATTTAAAATACATTCTTATTAGAACACCCAATTTGCAAAATAACGTCATCATAAAGGGGACTAAGAGAATGTCGACCACGAGCGAGTAGGTGATATTAATCACAATTTGATTTAGGTGTGCGTTTTAAAGTCACGGTTTAAAAGACAAATCCCCGGTTTTCACTCGACTGCCGACGGAAGGAGGGTAATGTATAAACTAAATGAGATGGCCATAAAATGAGAAAAACTTATTTTAGCGTTAGGTTTTTTACTTTCTCGCTGCTAATATAACTTTGCCCACTTTATTTGTATAATTGACTCAGCACTTCTAAGTTTTAAATTATTTTTCATAAATTGTACTTTATCTACTCTAACAGCTTATTAAATTCTCAATTATTGAACGTAGATTTTCCCTCATAACAAGGGGATTATTCTTAGTTACTATCACCTTGCTAAGTGGTATAGCATATAGTTTTATTCGGGTTTCTCTTTTAAGTTACATAACAGTAATGTATTATTTCTTTAGTCGATTCTAAATATCTTCATGGAAACTTACATATTCATTGTTCTACTTTATATACAATTTGTATATAATATTTCTGTACCAGAATCAGTATATATAATATTGCACATGTTTAATTAAGATTATAGCCTACTCGTGTATTTTCTCCTAATTTGTTTAGGTGTGATTGCAAACATATAGGCATCCAAACATCTTAAAAAAACTTTAACATTTATATTATTCGTTAAATAATATTCTCTATACTCTGTACAGAGAAATCGTATATAAAATCTGAAAAACATATTAAAATGTATCAGATAGTTCACGGAGTTAGAAAAACTAACTCATAAAATATATATTATCTGTGATCCAAAAAATATTGTTCATAAAGCCTTAAGGGATTGCTTGTGCCAATCTATTAAATAAAAGTGGCGTACCTATTGGGAAAATCAAACTCGTTTCAGAGGAGAAATATCATATATAATATATTAAAGGAATTTGTTACCTACTTTTGGCAATAATTGAAATCGCCAGTCAAAACGTGACTCGAGCTATAAGTGAGGTGAATCAGCGAATCTGCAATGAGTCAGCCCTTCACTAGTAATTTGGCCACTATTCAGTCGTCGGTCGCATCGGAAACCACATAAAAGATTGCCCACTCCACTGAATAGCGCCCGTTAGGCTTTGGTAAAAAGCTAAAGGTCTTTTACAACACGTTACTTTTCTTATAAAATACTCGGATTATGTAAAAAATAAAATAGCATACAATCACATTGCTTATTTCTCATACAAAGATTTTTTTTACAACATAGGGGGCAACAAGCATGCGGCACACCTGATGGTAAGTGACTACCGCCGCCCATGATCGCCCACGACACCAAAGGCATTGTAGATGTTCTGCCGGTTTTTTAAAAAGGAATATGCTCTTTTCATGAAGGTTATGATGTCGTATCGGTTCGGAAATACTGCTGCTGGAAGTAGATTCCAAAGAGTGGTTGTATGTAGTTGTTCTTTATTCCAAGAAAGTAGCTTAAAAAACCCACGGTGAAAGACCGTCACCCGTCCACTGATTTCCCATAACATAGGGTGTACGGGAAATCGATTGACGAATATCTGGCTACATAACCTAGAAATCCTATTCATTTCTACTAATCTTATTAATAAAATTATAACTAGAAGATGTCTGTACGTAGGAGATATTTAAGAAATATCTCCTATAATTGTATATTTGTTTCAGAATCACGAAAAAACTACTGCATCAAATTGAATGAAATTTTCACAGTTATCATTAAATTTCTTCTGAAATTCACGCAAAAGCAAGGGAAGCAGCGGGCTAGTAGCTCGTTGTAAATAATTAAAAACCAGATATTTTCAAGTAACTTTAAAAAATTCAAACTCGTAGGGTCAAAAACATTAATAAAA